TTTTGTTAATATTTTGATTTGGATATTATTTTATATTTTCTGTTTTCAAATTTATTTGAATAGCACTTTTCACAGTATGTCAAAGCAACTTTACAGAAAGTCACACTGTTATGTCTATATACCTTATATGTTTTAGTGTTTAGCACATGTATCTGTGGTACAGTGACTCGGGCGCATGGCTGTGCATTCAAGGCATTTAAGACACTTAAATGTTGATCTTTATTGTTCAATTAAGAGATTTAAATGTTTTGTTGTAAACGAGTCAGCAGTTTTCAAAAAGTATTAGTGAAAATATGATCAGGTTTTGCTGGTGAAAAGTCAGTTCTCAAGCACATTTTGACTGTGCACTGCATGCAAGCACTCAGTGTGTGTGAAGATCTAGAACGTTGTAGTCGTGGTGGCTGTTCTGCATGCGTGTGTGTGTGTATGTGCTGTCTGCGCACAAGCGTAGTCGTATGATCGTGCATTGGATTGCCTTGCACTACTTCTGTTTTCACAGTATGTCAAAGCAACTTTACAGAAAGTCACACTGTTATGTCTATATACCTTATATGTTTTAGTGTTTAGCACATGTATCTGTGGTACAGTGACTCGGGCGCATGGCTGTGCATTCAAGGCATTTAAGACACTTAAATGTTGATCTTTATTGTTCAATTAAGAGATTTAAATGTTTTGTTGTAAACGAGTCAGCAGTTTTCAAAAAGTATTAGTGAAAATATGATCAGGTTTTGCTGGTGAAAAGTCAGTTCTCAAGCACATTTTGACTGTGCACTGCATGCAAGTGTGACTGTGTGAAGATCTAGAACGTTGTAGTCGTGGTGGCTGTTCTGCATGCGTGTGTGTGTGTATGTGCTGTCTGCGCACAAGCGTAGTCGTATGATCGTGCATTGGATTGCCTTGCACTACTTCTTATCTTTCCTCTCTGATAAACACACTGAAATGCACACACATAAAAAGCTTATTTTTTCTGCCCCAGTTCTGTCACGCTGCCTGTGAAGTTCCTGCGCATCGATGGAGGAAAAGGAAAAGAAACTCTTCTGATGGTGTCAACTGGCCCCATTTTTTAGCGTTTAGTACAGCGCCTATGAAACCTGCACCCACCCTCCCCCACTTTATACGGCACATGACTGGCGTTTCATTTGAACTGAGAATCCCTGCTAAGTTTTAATTAATCAAAAAGCAAAATGCTTATCTTATCAGCTGATCGTTTTCATTTTGATTACGGGCTGGCGGGTGGGAAGACTGATCCTCAGGAGGAATGGGCCCCTAACTGCAGGCAGGCTGATGCTTATCGGTCTGTTTGCAGCGACAGGAGAGACCAGCTGCCTTCAAGCAGTGCCGGCCCTCAGGTTAAGGGCTTAAGACACCAGCAACTTCCCGAATCCCTCCTGTGGTTCTTCTTATCTCTATCAAATGCAATCTTGCTTAGATAAAAGGCATTTGTTTAGGGCCTTTATTTATCAAAGCCTGCCACGCTCTGTGATGGACTCTGAGGTGGAAAATATTCTGTAATTCACAAAAACAAAGAAATGGGCATGACAGCCATGCACTTGTTTGTATGTGTTAACTCGAGGAACGTAAACTAGACTTTTACACCATCTGAGTGCATCTTGTCTGTGCAAAACTTACTGAAATCAAATGCATACTGAATCTTTTGTGTTGTTGCTAGGCCGCTGCTATGGTGTTTGGTGGTTACTAAATTGTCCAACCAAGTCTTTGTGATCTTGCCATGAACCCCCAAATATGATGCTTCCCTTGCAGGAGTCCTAAAATATAAAAACTGAATATTTTATATACAAAATATTCTACGTTAAGAAAGAAGTATAAAAACCCAATCAATATGTGTAAAATATTATATATTAACATACAAACAACGTGTGTGTGTGTGTGTGTGTGTGTGTGTGTGTGTGTGTGTGTGTGTGTGTGTTTATATATAGAGAGAGCAAGTGTAAATTATTATGTAATAAATTTAATTTAATTTTTGAAGAAGTATAAACACCTCTTTAAACTGTGAAAAACAATTATAATACATACATGCGTATAAGATATTTACACAATTTGAAATTTGTGTATACTTTTATCTATTATTTATTTACTTTTTTTATCTGAACCTAAGAAACACAGTGTGTGTGTGTGTGTGTGTGTGTGTGTGTGTGTGTGTGTGTGTGTGTGTGTTTATATATAGAGAGAGCAAGTGTAAATTATTATGTAATAAATTAAATTAAATTTTTGAAGAAGTATAAACACCTCTTTAAACTGTGAAAAACAATTATAATACATACATGCGTATAAGATATTTACACAATTTGAAATTTGTGTATACTTTTATCTATTATTTATTTACTTTTTTTATCTGAACCTAAGTGAAAATGTAAAATATAGTATATAGTAAATATATGTAATATATAGTTTATATTATATTTAATTTAATATATTTTTATGACAATATAAGTTTAAAAAAAAATAGAAATATGTTTAAGATGTGTTTATACAAATATGATATCTTTTTTATGATATTTGCTACCTGGTTTCTATGAGGCAAGAAAATAATTCTTGCAGCAACGTAGATCATCAGAAACCCAAAACCCTCAGAGTACAACCAATCTTTCTGTCAGACTTCCTCAATATCAGTGAAAATGTTCAAATCTAGTCGTTCTCACTGAGAGAAACACTTTCACATACACACAGGTATACACAATTGTAAACTCCTACCTCTTCTCCAAGCCCACTGTTTCAGAGCAATAACACAATAATGGAAACCATTTTCCCTGTAACAGTTTCTGGAAAGACATTTATTTCACTTTAACCTCCATGTGTTAGAGATGTTCTCGGTAATGGTGCTGGTCTGCCAGCCTGCAACGTACAGTATACGTCCTATTTCACCACCTACTGTACAACTGAAGTGTGAAATTCACTCTCCTACTCTTCTCTTTTTCCATAGGGAGTTCGGTTGGCGAGATCCTGAGTTACCTGAAGTCATTCAGATGTTGCAGCACCAGTTTCCCTCAGTTCAGTCCAACGCAGCGGCATATTTGCAACACCTATGCTTTGGAGACAACAAGATTAAAGCTGAGGTAAATAAAATTTTATACCACTGATCAAAGCACTAGCCATTAACGCTCATGTACCTGCTTACCAAGGCACATTTGTAGGTGATACAAAGCAAAATGTGTTTAGAAAGGGTTTTTTTTGTGACCGTGTAGAAGGTAGTTAGTCTTGAAAGTGGGATCTGAATGCTGGATTTTTCCATATCTTCTGGCACAAATTTTGTATTACTTTGGGAAAACTTTTGCTGTGGAATACCTACCGAAAGATTTTTATTGATACGTGTTGTTGCGTGAAATTAATTCTTGTACATACCGTTGACAAATAATTCACACCTTTATTGAAATTTGATCACAGGTCTCTGATGGTAGATCTCCCAGCAGTAAGTTTTCACAATTATGAAGAGTGCCTTGGATTGCACCAGTAATTATGCACTAATAGCACAGCCAAACAATACATGGAAAGCTGCATATTGACAGCCGTTCTCAACACAGCAGCTCTATGATTGTATCCCAGAGGCTTAAGAGAAGCTTGCAGGACAAGGAAATTAAATTTGGAGAATAAATCTGCGGGAGCAAAACAGCAACAGAGGGAGAGACGAGCTAGCCGACAAACTTTTAAATGATATTTAATGAAGAAAAAAACCGTGAGAGCCAAATTAGTTTATCCAGCAATGAGCTCCACTTCAAACCAGCATTTTTCTCCATCTGAAAAATGTCTTATTTATTAAGAAAATACACTAAATGAATCCCCCTGCTTTCTTTGATCCGCCTGTTCATCAGTTTCACCACACACTAAAATCAACTTGTTTCATGTTGTTCTCATAAAATATCTGGAGTAATGTTCCATCATAGCTTGATTGATTAGATTTGGGACTATATTTTCAGCTGCTCTATTTTGTGCTATTTTTTTCTTGTAAATAAACAAAAAATTGGCATATAATTTTCATCTGTGGTTCTCAACTGTTTTTTGTTCTCTCTATTAACAACTGGTTATAAAGTGCATTTAGAAAAGCAACATGTGCCAAACCATCTTCCCAAATTTATGATTACAGTCATTTATAAATCCGTTGCCAACAAAAGGCAAGCTTAAAGATCTTCCTGCAGTTTTCCAACCAATTAAAAGCTTTATAGTTTAATGTTTGAAATCAAAGAAATTAAGACATTGTAATTTTATTATTTTATATTTTGTTGTTGTTGTTGTTAAATACAATTTTTTTTTTATTTTACAGTAAAATAATATTATTTGCAATCCTGCATTTCATAATTTAAATGGTGATACATCAAAAAGAATATTTTAAACAACAACAATAATAATAATTATCATTACTGAATATTCATATTGAATGGGGAAGACCTGAAGAAGTCCTGATGAACACCCAACCTGTCCGTATTGACATCTGCCTTATTTAGCTAGCTTCTGCATTTATGAATTTGCACCAAAATAATTAAAATTTTGATTGGATACACATCCATTAACTAAACTATAATGGTGACAATGAACTAAGATGTTTCTCATTGCTTTGAAAAGTATGTGATTCTATTTATTTTGCATTTTACAATGTATTTAGCATTATTCTTCCCTCCAGTTCATGACCCAATCAGAACAGACCTGTAGCCCACTTTTAGGTTGTGACCCAACAGTTGAGAACTACTGCTCTGTTTCATCCCACTGTCATCATATCTGAGGTCTCTAAAAATGTCGAATTCAGTACATTCTGCAACTCATTGTATTATGCAGCAAGCCTGTGTTGGTGCAGTGTCTTCTACATTATTTTGTAAATCATTATATCCTGAGGTTTTCTACCACGTCTTCAATGTTTCTGCAGCCTCATTCTCGGTTAGGTGCAGTTTACCAGCTGCAGTAAATGTCCAATCCCAATCATCATTTCTTTTAATTCTGTCTGGAGTGGGACTGAACCTCCGATGTTAGTTTATCCATCTGAAATGACATATCAAGGACTGCAGAAAGAGTGCAACAGATGAATTATGGGAGATATCATTGAAGGTATCTAAATGATACACGTTGTGGTGGTACTGGACCAGTAGTGTGTGTGTGGGGGGGTTGCTTGGTAGAGCAGTACAGTTAATTATATGTGACAGTACTGCAGCAGATGGTGCCGAAGCCCTGAACAAGTTATTTCACCCCTGCCATTCTTTTCCCTCAACATACATATCCATAAATGCTTTCACATTATGGAGTGGATAGTGAAAAATGACACCAGTCAACATCACAATGATTTCAGGCCTGGTAATGTCTTTTTTCTCTTTTTTCCCCCCACTGTTTTTGCATAATATACCAGTCAAACTACGAGTGATTTATTTGAGGGTTTTTAGTGTAACAAAACCATGCAACATGACCAGTACAACCAATTCTGAACAAATGACTCTTATGAGATGGCTCTTTTTACCAACTCAAACACATGCTTACAATGTTATATTGTACGTAAAGAAATACTTCATCCAGAAATGAAAATGCTGTCATCATTTACTTACCCTCATGTTCCAGAACACAAAATAAGGTATTATGAAGAATGTTGGAAACAAACCGTTTTTGTGACCATTGACATTAGCTATGTTTCCATCACCCTGTTTTTATGCACATTATGAAGTATCGCATCAGAAACAAGTGATGGAAATGCCGAATTTAGAATTTATTTTAGGTTTTTGACTTGCCGAAAAAGGGTTAATGCGAATAATGGGAGATGGAAATGCATTTTGCGAATAAATTCATCCATGCGCATCAAAAAAGTCATGTGACTTTGCGCTATGGGAAGGCATAACCTGACTAACCAGTGGACCGATCTCATTGCACAGCATGTGAAATGTTGTTATGGTCATTCTTAAATGCCCAAGTCTGTAGTCAAAAAATTTCTGTATAATTTGCTCCTAAACTGTCTTGCACAACTGCGTTCCAAAACAGCAGGCATCCACCTCTGAAAGCAATTTATTGTGTTTCGTCTGCTCGCTCTGAGGTGCAAACAGTTTATTATATATGAAATTATGATGTTCAGTTGCTTCTACTTTTCTTAGTGATATTTAGTGCCAGTTTATCAGGAAGTGACAATTTTGTTCTCTTTGACTCGTTGGAAGGAAACGGTACTTATTCGCAAATGTTTTATGCGATATTCCAAGTTTGAACATAAGTTAAATTCGCAACTTTGGATGGAAACACAGCTATTGATGTTGAGCATGAAAAGAACATTCAGAAACAAAATATATTTTATGTTCTGCAGATAAAATACAGTTGTACAGGTTTAGAACAAAATGAGGGTAAGTAAATTGACAGAATTTTTTTGTAAATTGACAGTATATATTTTTGAATCACCAAAAAAGTACCTGCTCACAAGAATCATTTGTTTGACCATTTGATTTGCTAAAAAAAATCAAAGAATCATTCAGGAATCCGTGGAATGGACTTGTCGCACTGTATGATTCTGATTCACTAAAAAGAGCCGGCTCAAACAAATAATTTGTTTGATAATCCTTTGGACTGTTCCAATTGTATGTTTTGATTCACTAAAAAGAACCGACTCCTAAGAATCATTTATTCGGGAATAAGTTGGACTGGTCGCACTGTATGGTTTTAATTCACTGAAAATAACTCACTGGTTTGATGATCATTTAGACCCAGCAGTTCCTTGGTTTTGATTCACTAAAATGAACCTGCTCATACAAGTCATTTGTGCTCAACTGAATTGGTCATCCGAATGTCATTTTCTCAAAATACAATTACGGAAGTCAAACAGGTTGTGAAGGCAGTTTCATATTGACATTTTTAAAGATAGATGTAAAGGAACTTTAGCCAGACAGGAGCTAGCGCACACACTGAAGCAGACTCGGAAGGGAAAGGAGAATGGCTATCAGATGACAGAGCAGTTTCTCCCACAGCAGAGGTGTGGAGAATACTGATTAGCCCAGCATTTCAGCCAGACAGGCCAAGCTCTGATGTTTATAGTCTTCCTGCTGAACTACTGGCCAAGTGCAAAGGCAGCTCTTTCTCGTCCTCAGCTGGCCACTATTTATAGCAGGTGGTTCCAGCAAAGCTCCCCAGGTCCATGTCTTGTGCAGGCCGCCTCTGGCTAAAGTTCAGCTTTATCAGCCCTTTTGGAGGGAAAATGTAATCTGTCAATATCCATCTGCATGTGCGCTCTAGAGTCAAGAGCAAGCACTTCCGTCCTGTCTGCTCATGCCTCTAATTGAATATCTCAGCATCTCCGCTGCTTCAGGACGATGTTAAAACTCAATGAATTTCTTAGCTGCTCAGAGTTCACAAAAAAGGAGTTCACTTCTCAAACAAAGTGGCCACCACTGATTCACCAGCACTGCTTTTGCACATCTTCTCGATGTCTTCCTGCTTTTATCCTCTGTTGTTTGTCGCTTCCAAACATCTGTTGCTTCCAAACATGCTGCGATCACGATCATTTATTGTGCTTCCTCTATATAATGTTTTGTGTACTGGGGCTGCATTCTCAAAAGTGCGAATCTCACCACGTGAATGAAACAAAGGCTTTTGTGTGGTGATGCACATGTCTGTCTGTGCCTCTCGGGATGAGCCGTGCCTTTGTTTGCCTGTCAGGTGTGGTTTGAATATGTATGCTGTACATGCAGTACAACCCGAAAACAGGAAGAAACAGGATGAGAAGTATCCTCATGGAATGGACTATTAGATCACTTCTCACCTTCAGACAAAACCACACAAAGAAACATGTTTGTAATCTCCATTGGAGTGAGTGGCGATGTGAAGCCAGAGCGCTGATCTGTAGTGATGTACTATTCAGAAGCACATCTGCCAGGGCTGCTCCTACACTCATCTTAAGCTAATGCAGCAGGGTATTGTGTATGCCAGTTGGCAGCAGGACAGGAAATTGGAAATTCATAGTGCAATCACTTGATGAATCTGCAGATAGACACAGGTGTGACTCTCTCTTAATAACTTAGCCCTGCTGGTTTTATGTAAATTCGTCCAAAACGTTTTTAGCTTGCTTTGTGTATTAGTCTATAAGGGCTCAAACTACAATGAACTAAGCCGCCAAATAATAACCAAGGAAGATATTGTGATTTTTATTGACAATTAAATAAAAATGTATTCTTCTTTATTCGCTCTCATGTTATTCCAAACCTGTATGATGTTATTTTGGGCTACTTTTATAGTGCTTTTTTTACTTTTTGGAGCTTGGCAGTAAAAATCACCATCCAATTTCATTGTATGGAAGACAGTGTTTTTTATGTAGTATTATAGTATGAATTTATATTTAAAATTTGCTTTTACAACATTAACATTTCTAATTTTCTTTTACTTTTCAGCTATTATTTATTTAATTTTTTTTTATTTTCAGCCTTATTTTAGTTAATAAAAACGCTTTCTAATAGTTTTAGTTTTAGTTAACAATTACAAAACTGATGGAAAACAGTGGCTCAGACATTCTGCCACATATGATAAAAGATCATATGGTTTTAGAATGACATGAAGATTGGAAAATAATGGCAACATGTTAATTTGTGAGGGAACTATTCCTGAAAATATTATAAAATGGCACCGGATATCAAAATGAGAAGGCTGAGTTGATGTCAATCTGTGTTGTTTTTCCATAGCATTCAGTAACTTTCATGGCTTTTTGTTTTGTGGTCTCAGAACCTCTAATGAACTTGGCTGGCTTTAATTTACTGTAGTGTAGAACAGCAAAGCTCTGTTTATAGAGATTTACTCACACCTCTCAGTCTGTCTGAAGAGTGATTCATTTTCCGGCTCCCTTTAGTATTGATTTTTCAAATACACTGGTTATGGATTCAGTACCTCCTATTTGCTCATTTATCCTCCAGATAATCTCATGGGCTGACACTAAGCTATTTTGGTGTGACTTAATACTGAATTCAGACTTCTTTTTTTCATTTATATGAAGCAGCACTGCTGAATGTCGGAAAGGATAGGTCAACATTTCGAATGTCTTCCCATGAGTTGAGCCAAGGCCACCATGTTCTTACTGATCAATAATTCTTGATTAGATCAATTGATGTTGCATTCAAATCAGGAGTTCAAGTTCAAAATATGAATATGAATTAATTTTCAAAGCCCCTTTCAGCTCTCTGGTGTCACCAGGCACTCTGAGTAAAGACTCATGGCTGTATTTGATCAAAAGGGTGCTTCTACTAAATACTGAGCAAAGGGTCTGAATACTTAGGACCATGTGATATTTCAGTTTTTCTTTTTTAATAAATCTGCAAAAATGTCAACAATTCTGTGTTTTTCTGTCAATATGGGGTGCTGTGTGTACATTAATGAGGAAAAAAAATGAACTTAAATGATTTTAGCAAATGGCTGCAATATAACAAAGAGTGAAAAATTTAAGGGGGTCTGAATACTTTCCGTACCCACTGTATATATATATATTCTTCATTATTATATGAGTTTTCCTTCACTATTTATTTATTTGTTTGTTTGTTATAAATGTATTTATTTGAACATTGTTCTTGTCATGTTACATTAAAACTGACTTGAAAACTTTTTACCAGGTCATTTTGCTACTTTTTAGATGCCTTTTATGTAGATTTTATTGTTTTACCCGTTTTCCGAACCCAGGCTTTAAGTCTTGAAGTATGAAAATACACATCACCCATCACCCTCTATCTCTCGGTTTCTCTCAGATACGGAGGCAGGGTGGTATTCAGTTGTTGGTGGACCTGTTGGATCACAGAATGGCTGAAGTACACAGAAGCGCCTGTGGTGCCCTGAGGAACCTTGTTTACGGCAAAGCCAATGATGATAATAAAATCGCTCTGAAAAACTGTGGTGGGATTCCTGCGCTGGTCCGCCTGCTGCGTAAGACCTCTGATGTGGAAGTCAGAGAATTGGTCACAGGTAAGAACTTCTGCTGGCTTTGATACGCCTCTTTTTTCAGTTTGAGTTTTATTATAGGAATTTTCTCTGTCACAGTGTTTCATGTCTGTGTCAGATCAGTCATCAATTCTCTGTATATTTATGCTGTAGTAATTAATTACCAGTTTCAGACTCTTTAAAAAAAAAAGATGAGTAATGGGGATCTTCGCACCTAAACCAGTGCAGTCACACAGTTAAGTTCAAATGGGTTTTGATGTTAGCAGGAGTGACATTTTCTTTTAATTATAAGTGCAGAGACCCCAAATTTGCTTGTCTAGTGATTTGTTTCAAGGTGAAAACTCCTCTGAAATTCTTGCTTGTGGATGTATTAATTATTTTCTTTTATTATTTATAGAGCAATGGACAGTGGAGAGATGTTTGAATATTAGATGACTTCATTTCTTTAGTACTTTATTATTTCCAGACTGTCCTGACTTGTGTTGTCAAAAGTACCGATGTCAGTACCAGTCGGTAGCTTCGGTACCAGACAAGGTTTTGTTCAACTCACACCAGGAGCATTTCAGAAGTGAAGCAACAGGATTCGCAAGACCACGTGATTTGCCTGTCCGACGTTGTTTGTCTTGATTATTTGTGTTCTAACATGGCTAAGTTGACTAAATGTTTATGTTTTGTCCAGTTTAATTCTGTTTAACATAACATTTCTGGCCTCCTGGCAAGGATATAGTGATGTGAAATACAATTGGGAGTCTGCACAGGGTCTTTATTTTGAAACTGACAGGATTTGTTGACTTTTATTTTGTATTTACTGTGCAGCTTGGACGTGGCGTCCGTCATAAATAGGCCAGGAAACGTGCCTTTGCGCAGCTGGTGCAAACACAAGCATTGAATAGAGTGGCCACGATCAGCTCCGGTGGCCGCGTCGGAGCCGTAACGCGCCGCAGACGCGTGCAGTGTAAATAAGGGGGTAAACACCTCTGATTGGCCATTGTGTTCACGCGCTCAACAGATATGTCTGTGATGCATTTTATTTTATTTTATTTTTTGCTGTGAAATCTGCTATACCCAAATGAGGATGTGTACTACAACTTTTTATCCTTTAATTTAGCAATGCTATAGAAAAATCTGCTTTATTTGTTTTTTCCCCCTTCATCTTTTAGGAATGAGGTACAGAAAGAGATATTTTCAGCAAAATAAATCACCTGTCCCCAAAAAAAACCCAAAGGCTTTGCATTCCCAAACATGTTTCTAAATTGTTTCTGTAACAGAATGGATAGACTTTGGAACAAAGCCACGCTAGAAATGCCTGCTATGCGCTGAATTCAGATTAACATATAAATTAAAAGCATTGCACACAGGGCACACAGAGACTTCCTGTCACAAATTAATCAGCAAGCTGGAAGCCTCAAGGTCTTTGGCTGCCCAGAGGATTCTCAGCCTCTCAATCTCAAGCAAAGCACCACATCTGAGTCATGTTTTGCCTGCCTATTTGACTGCAGAAATGTGCTGTTCTTTGACATACAGAAAGTAGATGTAGCCATATGGACCCAGTCGGACCTGATGGTCAGGTGTCCTGTCAGCCTGCTGCCAGCGTCTGCTTCGCTTCAAAGGCAAGTGAGGTTTATGCAAAGCTTTTCCCAGAATGGGAACGCAGAGGGTGGAAGAAAGTGAGACTGGACAATTCTTTCCATCTTGGAATATGTACAGAGACGGGTTGAAAACCAATGCATTCAGTACTCCTATCTTATCTATCACTGGCACTGCCTTTCAGTGGCTAACTTCATATCTCTCGGACAAGCAACAGTTCATTAGCATTAATCTCGCTCTGTCACTGTTTCCCATGGTGTACCTCAAGGATCTGTTCTTGGTCCACTTCTGTTTCTAATGTTCAGATCATTCTAATGTTCAGATCATTCAGCTTCATGGTCTTAACTTTAATAGTTAAGCTGATGATACACAAATCAATCTTACTGTCCTTACTGTCCTCAAACAAAATAAGCCTTACACCACATTTTGACATATATTTTTCCTAAAGGAAGTGCTTAGAGGTTCCACAGAGCCCATGCAAAAGATAAATAGATGAGTGTTTGGCTTTGTGAGCATGAGCATGTGAGCATGTTCTTTTATGAATCACATGACTGTGGAGAACAGATGGAATATTAGTCTACAGGAACAGGAAACTTGCAAGAAACCCAGACAACAGAGCATCCCCTGAGAAACTGTTTGAATCCTTTGGCAGCAAGAGGTTTTTGAATTGCAATATGTAGTGTGATCATATGCTGAAATTTGGGAGGTTTCTTGCTTAGTTAGCCTAATTCCACTTAGCGTCTGGTTTTTGTCTCTTGCTGCAGTGCTCTAGCATACGGTCCGGCCCCAAATAGTGCAGTTGATGTAGAATTAGAGTCTCATGGCCCTTTTTTCTACCCAGTTGCATACATTTACACTTTAATGTTCATGAAAGCATCTATTTTGATCAAAATACAAAAAAACTGTAATGTTCTGAAATATTTCAGTTAAAATTTTATACATGTTTTAACATATTATAAAATGTAATTATTTATGTGATAGCAAAGCTAAATTTTCAGTAGTCATTACTCCAGTCTTCAGTGTCACACGATCTATTAGAAATCATTCTAATATGATGATTTGGTTCCTAAGAGACATTTCTTATTATTCTTATCAAAGTTGAAAACAGCAGTGCTGCTTAATATTTATATGAAAACCATGATAATTTTTTTTTTTTGGTAAATAGAAAGTTCAAACAAACAGCACTTATTTGAATTATACATCTTTGGTAAGATTATAAATGTCTTCATTGTCAATTTAATGCATCTTTGCTACATAAAAGTATTAATTTCTATCAAAAAAACAATCTTACTGAACCCAAACCTTAGCAGCATCTGGGATGATGGTTAGACAGTGATTGAAAAACTTAGTAGTCCTTTGTTAGAGAATAGAGCTCAGAGAGTTGTAACCAATGCCCTTAAATGATTGGTTTCGGATCTGTCTTAAAGGGTTCAATCGTTGCTGTAGTCTATAGATGTCCATTATTGTTGGTGATAGATGACGATCTTAATCCTAAAATAGGAAGAAACCGTTAAATATGTAATATCTGCTGATACAATAAATTGAAAAATTGGCAGAATACATCAATGACCAATGTAGTGCCAATGCGTAATACTTAGGGTTTGGGGCTTGTTCAAAACCCTAACCTTATGTTTGAGCAAATAACTAAGTGATGTTTTAGCTATAACGTTAGTTTTTCCACTAATTTATTAAAACACTGTAAATTAATGACTTTTCATTACAATGGAAAAATTCAACTGTTTATATCTGTCTCAGTCGTGCAGTCAGGTGAAGATGTCTGTGGGATTTTTGCTCATACAGTGAGAAACCCTTGTGAAATTAAGCAGTCTAAATCTAGGCCTGTGTTCTACTGGCATGAGATTTGATCTTGGTCAAAGTCACCACTGACGACAATTAGGTCCTTGTAGTGCTCTAGCGTTAAGCCTTCCTCTCTTTCTCTTTCTTTCTCTCTCTCGTTCCCTCATGAGAAGTGGTCTATGACTAGATACTCTCTCAGTTCAGCAATCAAGGTTGTTCTTCCCTTTTCGGAGTGCATGCTTTTTTCAAAGACTTTAGAAAGTGAAAGTCAAGAAGAAAATGAGCCACGAAAGACTACTAAAAGTAGAGTGACAGCAATAAGAAGCACACACCTATATACACAAATATATATTAAAGGTGCAGTAGGAGATCTTGGAAAATGCTAACTTTAGCCTGATAGCACTGAAAGCGAACGTCCCACCCTCCCTGCAATTGCCGTCCAAAGCCACGCCCCCTAAACGCATTTACGCTCACAGACCAGAATACCAGAGATAACATTACTACAATAGGCTACATCAGCAGTTCCGAATTCCAGTCCTCTTTTATACTATAAATTAAATAGTATTTATTTACAGAGGTATATTATGTCACACTTCTCGTGTGAAGACGTTGCGCAGCGCAAATCCGTGAATTAATGTTCTGAAACTGAAGTAAGCTTCAACGGATTTCCCCTGCTCAGGGAGTAGGGAGCAATAAACACTGTGTAGAGATCATATCGATCGGAACACAGTTCATGCACGTAGCTCACTTCTAACGAGCTGGTTATCTGAATCAGGTATGTTAACTAAGCGAGACATGCAAAATATGCAGAGCAGGGTGCCGCGAGGACTGGAATTGGGAACCGCTGGGCTACATCATGTGTCATTCACCGGTGAGAAAACTTTAAAAGTACTACAATACCAGGAAGGAAGATCGGGCTGTTGACGTATCATGTCTGCGCGAACCGGGTGCGCAGAGGTATGCAGATACATACATTGACAGGCAGGTAGGAAAGCCAATTAAAACGCTCGGACCGAGTGTTTTGATTGGACGAACATTTCTTGGTCCTACGCCTTCCACAGAATATATAAATACAGATAAATACATTTAGACCATTTAACTTAATGATTGCTATCGGGATGTGAAGAGACTTTCAACCAGCACAACAAAAAAAAATTCTTAAGACAGTCACCTATTGCACTTTTAAGATGCACTTTATTTTTAATTATAAGAGTTGATGCGGCCATTTGTAATTTGAATGTGCAAGGTTTCCGGTATCATCCATTTCCAGTTATTTTTAGATGTACAAAACAACTTGTTATTCTGCTTGATATTGCAAACTAATAGTTCTTATATTATTTTAATGTACTTTTGTCATTATAAACACATGGTTTGTACCACAAATAGTTTTACGGTTTGCAGCACTTTGTTATTCCTCTGCTTATATATCAAAATCTCCCACATTCAAAGAAAGTTGCTTATTCCACATTGAAAGGTGGATGGAATTTTAAGATGGATAACTGATTATCTGAAGTTTCTTGTGGCGGATATGATAATTTTAACACTTTTAACTGAAACAGTTTGAATAAAATAAAAAACTACTGTGTTTACACAAAACTTATTCTTGCTAGATGCTGATTGAATGTGAAAAAATGTACTGT